CCACACTAGAGATGGACACTAGAGAATATCATAGGGCCTGAGAAAAATGTAGTGCCCAGCTTGCTGCTCCCCAGGGGTGTTTAATGGGCCAGGCTGGGCTGTGATAGTCTCATGGCTTTAGTTAAATATTCAGTGTGGCGGGCTATTGTGCTTCCTTCCAAATAAATTAACATTCATAGCATCGTCTAGAACTGGCCTGGAGCCATTCCTTTGGGTAGGAAAGCAGATCTCACTGGGTTGATGAAAACTGCTCAACCCGGGAGATGCCTCTGGGCCGCTCAACTTGCCCCTTCTTGCCATCTAGTGGCAAGAAGTGAAAATGTGCCAACTGCCTATGGAGAGATGCCAGGAGCTTGTCAGGGGAAAGCTGTGTCAAACTCATTTGTGTGGAGATTCTCCATAAAGGGTCTTCCTGCAGGACGAAGTCATGAGGACAGCTGAGGATATTTTTCTTTTTCTTGCCTTCCAAAATTAAGTTGTGCTTCCACCTATCTTGATTGCGAGAGTCCTGGCTTATGTTCCCAAAACCCAGATGAAGGAAAATGATCCCTTTCTGCCAAGGTCACTGTTTCCTGGCCCAAGGTGCCCCAAGGGCCCTGGACAGAGGCAGGAGGGGGGATAACATGGATCCTTTCCTTGGAAATTCTTCTTGATGTTCCTCAGTCCCCACTTGAAAAGTAAGAATGTATGTTTGCTTACACCATCATCTGAATTCACGGGCCTCGTAACACTCAAGCTGTAAATTTCGCGAAACAATATTTTCTTGGATAAGACGAGATTTGTTGAGGACATTTATTATTTGAGGAGTCACTTATGAATGTGCGATTCAGAGATGACAGCAGCCTCTTCCAGATTAAGTCTCCTCAGCCTAAGAAAGCACTTCTCAGAAGGAATTTTAGCCCCACTGCATGAGATGCAGGAGCTGCTCAGCTGCACCCAACAGTGAATGGACTTGCCTATGAATCAAAATGCAAATGAAGTGCTGAGTGATATTTTTTTTTCCTATGGAAATGCGTTCGGAGGAGGGTTCTCATTTTATTCTAGAAGTCCCCACAGCCACACTGTGTTTGAGACAGTGCCCAGGTGGGGCTATGTTTTGCAGGCTATGAATGGTTCATGTGGTCTTCTTGAACCTGTAGCACACAGCTTGAGATTCTGCCTTCAGTCTGCATGTCATTATTTGGTCCTTTCTCCCCTTGCCTCTAGGGAACCTATCACCTCCCTTTCAGTTTCTAGGAAGGGTAGATTTGTTGGTCAATTTTCACTTTGCTTCATGTCCTTGGGCAAAAGCTTTGGGCTATTTTGAGTCTCAGTTTCCTCACCTGAAAGGCAGAGGAGCATACATGGCTTCCAACCAAAGTCACCCCAGCATTCCACATCATACTTTGTTTAATGTCATTTCACTGTTGTGAAATGAAGTCTGAACAAAAGAGTGCATCTATGCAGATAATTGTAGAATGTCAGTAGAATGTCTCTAGCTGGGAGATGACAGACTTTGAAGAGAAATATTTATAATAAAGTATGATGTGTCTCAATGTGCAAATTTTAGGACATGGGTCATGATACTGGTAAGGTAGGCAGAGTCTGCTCCGGCCCTGTAGTTACTGAGAGCAATTACTGTAGGTGCCAATTGGATGGTTGGTTTGGTAGCTTGAACAGCATAGTTTCAGGGTTTCAGAATAAAGGACACTAGCAGTTTCAATACATAAAGACAAAATAGTAATTTAAATAGGGCCTGCTAGCAAGATGGCTTAGCAGGTAAAGGAGTCAGCCACCAAGCTTGAAGACCTGAGCTCAGTCCCCAGGACACACATGGTGGAGGGAGAGAGCTGTCTCGTGAAAATTGTCCTCTGATTTCCACATTGGCACTGTGGCACGTGTGTCCACACATGTGCACCCAAAAATAAATGATAAAGCAATAAAAATAATAATATTGTGCTATGAATTTATAAGATATTTGTAATCTTGGAAAACTCAAGAAATATTAAAACATGTGCTCCCCAACCTTTCTGGTACAAATGCAGCTAAGTCCTAAGCTGAGATGATCCTAACTCTGGCATTTCTAAGCCACGCTACAGTTACGTCTTAATAAAGAAACAGCCTTACCCTTAGCATCCGTTTTAAGACCAAGAGTGGACCCAAACTGCTGAGCACTCTTTCCTTCAGATGCCTCCTGGAACTGTGCTCCCCAGCAAGGGCTTCACTCATTCTTTATTGAAAAAGTGTCTCCAACATGAAATGGGGAAGTAGAAGTCAGGACCCACCCTTATCAGAGACTCTTGCTCTCTGATCCCTAGGCCTAGAATATCACACTCATTGCGTTTCATTGTTTGCAATGAGAAAAGCATGCTGCTTTGTTTTAGTTTGTTTCTTCATTGCTGTGACAAAATATTCTTGACCACTACCAGTATGGGGAGGAAAGGGTTTATTTGACTTACATCTCCTGGGTCACAGTTCATCAGGGAGCCCAAGGTAGGAACTCGGGGCAGGAACCTGGAGGCAGGAGCTGGAGCACAGGCCATGGAGGAACACTGCTTACTGGCTTGCTCCCCTGGCCCATTCTCAACCTGCTTTCTTATGTAACATAGGCCCACCTGCCCAGGGGTGGCACCACCCACAGTGGGCTGGGCCCTCCCACATCACTCAACAATCAGGAAGATGCCCCACAGACATGGCCACAGGCCAGTCCTATGGAGGAAATTCCCCAATGGAGGCTCCTTCAACCCAGGTGTGTCAAGTTGACACTAAAGCTATCCAACACATGCTTTCAGCACTTTGTTGTGTAAAGCATGCATATGCACATTCATACATTATTTGGGTGAAGGGTAAAGAGGGGTCCTGAGGATTGAAGTCATATGCCTAGGTCACAAGAGGAGCATGAGCTTGTTTACATTATAAATCTTAACTTTGGGGTTGCAAGGTAAAATAAAAGTCACTCCAACAGTAAATAGGAATTTTCTCCCATGTAAACTTGGAGCAAGTGCTCAGAAGTCACGGGGACCCAGAATATTCTTTACTATGGGAGATATTTTGTGCACACCTTATTGGGACATCTACCATCCAGTGCCCAAACACCCCCACTTTGTGGAAACTGAAAGTACAGCCGTAGTTTTCTAAGTGCCCATCAGGGGCAGTGTCACCTGCTGAGAAAGACTGGTTGCAGCCTAGAAATAGAAATCAGAGGTAGGAAAATAGGAGCCTTTCAGGGGAGGTATGAGTTCGCAAACCACACTGTAATTAATGGAAAAGTAACAGTGGCTCACAGGGAAGAAACCAACAGAGAATGAGTATCTTGGAATTTAGAACTGGAGAAAGTGGTCCAGCCAGATGTGCCATCTCAGTAGATGTCCTTGCGCCCATGTCCTCTGACCTGTACCAGATGGTTGTTAACCATTCTGTGTATGTTGGGCTGGGCTGCCATCTCTGTCCTGCAGTGGGTTCCTGGTCTGGAGAATAGATCTCCATACTGTTCTTCAGTCTGGCGGGGTCACAATGGAGAGCCATACATGTGCAAGGCTGCTGGAAAGGAAGCTTGCAGATGACAGGCAAGATGAGTTTTGTGGGATACATAGAAGTTAGGCTACAGCAGAGGGATCCAGATGAAGGAAGAAACCTCAAGTTACATGGAACAGCTCCAAACAGGTCCTCATTAGGAAGCAGGCAAGAAATGGTGGAGATGAAGAAGTGTGTGAGGACAGGATGAAACCAAGTGGCATGAAGGATGCTGGACTGCGTAGACCTTGGCATGGGCTCTCTGGATATACTATGTACCCTGACAACACCATCCCGCCTAGGGCAGTTATATTATACCTGAGGCCAGTTTTTTCATATGGTTGTTACCCCAGGGTTACAGATCTAATCACCTTCTAGGTTTAATACTTCTCATCACTGAGTTCAGCACTTGGGATATCATGTTTGTGGATGAATGAATGAATGAATGAATGGAGAGACTCACGGTTCTCTCCAGAGGTCCAAGAAAAATAGTGGGAAGACTCTTGTGTCCTCGGCCCCTCCACTGCAGGGAGTCTCATCTCTCGTGATGCCTTCACTACTTTGCACCCTAACAGTCCCCTCAAGGAACAAGTCCTTCCCACACGGTAGACTCCGCCCCCTTGTGGTGAGGCAGAGCCATGAAGAACCAGGACGTTCAAACTTGCTCCTCCACTCTCTTGTGAAAGGAACTATAATTGTCACACAAATAGAAAAAAGGCCCTGCAAGCTGGAGAGATGGCTCAGCAGTTTAAGAGCACTGACTGCTCTTGCAGAGGACCTGGGTGTGATTTCCAGCTCCACATGGCAGCTAACAACCATCCATAACTCCAGTTTCAGGGGATCTGATACCCTCTTCTGACTTCCCTGGGCATTGCATGACACAGGTGCACTTATATGAATGTAGACAATATACTCGTACACATAAAATAGAAATAATAAATAAAATATTAAAAGAAAATAGGCCCTACATGTGCCATGATAGAACTCTCAAGGAGCTAACCCACAGTCCAGTGAGGAGCTGCCCTCTTACCATGACAGTACTGCCCACACTCCAGACTCTCCATGAAGAGGAACAGGCCCCAAGCTAGTCTCACAGGGTTCCTCTTATTCATGTCTAACCTGATGCTTCACAGGTGCTCCGCCCAATTTGTTGTGAATGCAAATGCCACAGAAACAGGCAGATTGGTAGACAGAGAGCAGAGCAGCAGCTGTGGGGGTCTGAGCAGAGGGGAATGGCACTGACTGCTAAGGGGTGGGTGTTCCTGTTGGGAAGATGAAGGGCTCTGGGGTGAGATGATGGCTAACACCACGGGGGTGTACTGAAACCCCCTGAATTGCACACTTGAGAAAGGTAACGTCCACGCTCTATGTTTACCTATTTTTAAAAACTTTCAGTAGACACAGGAAAGAAATGTATCTCTCACACTAGGAGAATGTGCGGACCAGCCCGTGCAGTCTGCTCAGGGCTTTGCTCTTGCCATGACCAAGGAGGCTCTTGTTCCTTTCAGGACACACACCGAGGACTCTTCATCCAGCAGCTCCGACCCACACAGAACCTCCAGCCAAGAATCAAGCTCAAGCTGTTTGGCCACTCGGGGTCCGGGAAATCCACTCTGGTGGAATCTCTCAAGTGTGGGCTGCTCCGGAGCTTTTTCCGAAGACGCAGGCCCAGACTCTCCTCTACCAACTCCACCCGGTTCCCACCATCACCGCTGGCTGCAAAGCCTACAGGTAGGAGCTCCGGTGGGGGTTGTGTTCTGTACTCCCTCGGGTCCATCCATATACAGGGTGAGAGAGTCCTTTGTTCTGTCACTGTGGACTGCGGGTGACTGGAGGTGAAGGCTAAGCTCCCAGCCAGGGCACAGGATGTGGCTCACATCCTCATAGGTGGAGTGAGGCTACCATGCCCTTAGCAGCTCCCAGCTCTGCCTGTCATCCCCGGCAGCCCTCTCACTCAAGATACTGCTACGGAGGTGGGGCGAGGAGAGGCTGCAGCCACCACCGATGGAGGAATCCTCAGAGCCCCTGGTGTGGAGAGTGGCATCAGAGGGTCCTGTCACTGGGGTGACAGGAGCTGGTAGAGACCTGACCTCCAGTGAACCTCATACCTGCTTGTCACGTGATTGCCACACATCTCTGTGGCCCATTGGAGGCTGTGGCTGTTGTGTTGAATTTTACGGGATAGAGAGAAACCTCCAGCCTCATGAGAGGAACTCTTGACAGGCTGTTCTGTCTTCACCACAGAGCAGCCTGCCCAGGAAGTTGCTAATGACCCTGACATCAAAATGGGTTCTCCAAATCTGCCTCTTGTTACCACTGGGGACAGTTGTAATTAGCAAAACTAAAATTAACAAAGTGTTCTGTGATTCCAGCCTGCTCCCATGTGCTTTCATCCTACCGTATACAAGCCTGTCCTAACCGTTTATCCGCACCAGGAACACTTATCTTAGTGGTACAGCTCAGAGGCACAGGAATCAAGGCCACATGCCAGGTGTTCCCTGCCCTTCTCTGCTAGCTGGAGCCCCTAGGCCAGTAACCATGTCCACCACTGACAACTGGTTTTCCCATACACAGGTGCCAGGGCATAAGATGCTCCTGGGGATCCCCAAAGGCCTTGTGAGGCTTGGAATCTTGATCTGTAGAAAAATACATTGAGATATCAGCCACAATGCTCTTAAAGGTTATATGGTCTTGTTCTTACTTTCCTTCCGACCAAGTTTTATTACCGGAGTGGATAATACATTTCATTATATATGTGTAAAATGTCTGTTTGCATATGGATCGAAACCTCCTCCCATCTTGCTGCCGCTCCTTTCCTTGGACCTGTCTCTGCCCTTGCTGTCTCCTTTGGATGTTCCTATTACTCATGTCCTGAGTCCTAATTCTTTGTCCTGCAGTCTCCGTGAGCATTAACAACCTGTACCCTGGCTGTGAGAATGTGAGCGTGAGGAGCCGGAGCATGATGTTCGAGCCAGGCCTCACCAAAGGGATGCTGGAGGTGTTTGTGGCGCCATCCCACCACCTGCACTGCTCAGCTGATGACCAGTCCACCAAAGCCATCGACATCCAGAATGCTTATTTGAATGGTACGCCCCACTTTCCCCAAAGGGAAGGAACTCAAGTTTCCCCTGGAAAAGGCTTCAAGTTATTCCCCAAAGGGAGCTTGTCCCAGGCAGTATCTGTCACATCCAACAAAATGCCTGTGCTGACTAGTTCTGGGGTGACCCAGGGCTAAACCATGCTGGCTAACACTCCTGGAGATAAGATTGTCAGCACCTAGTAAACACTCACTTAGTAAATGACTGATGGACTGACCAGTACCTTCTGAAAAGTAGAACTGAGTGCCTGTTTAGAGGGGAAAGCATGTGAAACACAGACCTTCATAGTGTGACGGAAGAAGTGTGAGAAAGGTGATTTTTAAACGTATCACTAGTTGTCCCTAATGCTGTGACATAGACATAGGGATTCTTTCTCTAGATGCAAATTTTTCAGTATTTTACTATTATCTATTTATGAGACAAGGTATTACTAGGTAGCCCAGGCAGGCCTCAAACTCCTCATCTTCCTTCCCTAAGCTCCTCCTGAGTGTGGGGATGACAAGCGCGCACAACATCCAGTAAATGTTCTTTTAGCTCAAACATATAAAAAGGATAAAGTTTAAGTCGGCACAGGGAAGATTTCCTTCTCTCAGCAAACGATTGTGTCATCTATGCAGAGCTCCCAAGTAGTCCCAAATTACTGGACCAGGAGTTCCAACCTTAGTTGGGAGGCAGTTTAGAGACAAAGATCAAGTTAACACCAATACTACCAAATTCCCTCTTGAAAGCACTCCTACCTCATTGTGTGGCCTAGAACAAACATTTAATTTCCCTAGGAGAAGGGATCAGTGTCTACATCTGTATTAGTTTGCTGTCTTGATGTTATAATAAAATAACATAGGCTTTGTACTTTTTAAAGAAAAGAGATTGGGTTCACAGTCTTAGAGGCTGAGCATTCAAAATGGGTGACTCCATCAGTTTGACCCTGGTAATGGCCTCCCTTGCTGTGTCACTTCATGTTGATGGCATGATGGTAGACCTTCTGGTCCAGTTTCCATGGAGAAGCCAGCTTTGATCTTTATAACAACTCACTCATGAGACCTAAAACATTACAAGAGACCAGCATTAATTCCTTCTCAGTGCAACAGTCCAATCATTTAACCACCTGCCACTAGACACCACATCTGGGATTCACCACCTCTTAATACCCCCACCTAACAGAGCAAGGCTCTAGTGCTAAGCCACATCCAGACCATCGCATTCTATCTCTGCTCTCAGGGTTCACATCTCACAGAGTGAATGTAGTTGTTCTATTTCCACAAGTTCCAAAACCTTAACTCATTTCAGTATCACTCACAGTCCAAGCCCTAGCCAGGCATGGTGGCACATACTTATAATCCCAGCACTCAAGAGGCTGAGGCAGTTGGATCACTGTAGGATCGAGGCCAGCCTGAGCTGTAGAGTGAGGCCCTGCTTCAAAAATACTAAAGTAAAAAGTTGAAGTCTCATCTGAGACTAAGGCAACTTCCTTCCAGCTCTGAACTTGTTTAAGTCAATAAACAAGTCAGCTACTTCCCCAAGATATAGTAGTGAGACTGGGATAAAGTAAGGGTTCCTATTCTGAAAGGGAGACACAGGAGCATGGTAAGCATAGCTGGCCCAGCATAGAACTGACACAGGCAAGGCAGACATTGTCTTACAGCTCCAGTCTGGAGCCTTGTATTGCTCTCTCAGCCTCCCGCCTCTGACGCTGCATGATGCTAGAGGCTCTGCCCCCCTTTAGCCCCACCTGCTGCTGCTCCTTAGGCATTCTAGTCTATTCCACAGGTGTGCCATTGCGCCAGGCCTCTGCCTGGCTTCCCGGGCCTTTCTTTGAGATCGTGGTGGTTGCTGCCATGACCCCCTGCTCTTGAGCATTCTGTGTACCTGCAGACTCAGCACCACATGGATGCTACAGAGTGAGCCATACACATCCATGGCTGGAAGAGCCAGGATGTCTCACCATAAAGCAGGGATCAGAATCCCGAGGAGGCTGGGCAGTGAGCCAGGAGGAGTACCTGGGTCCCATTCCTTGGAATCATTCTGTCCCTCTAGGCCCCTGGGCCTGAGATGGGAGGGGTGGCATGCTTCTCAAAAACAATTTTAATCTCTGCCCGTTACCCAATTCCAAAGCTGATTCTACATTTTCAGGTATGTTTACAACAGTGAACTCCCTCCTTAGGATCAATTATACCATTTCAGTTTCTTCTCCTGTATCCAAATACTTGATGCTGAGTACTTTATAAAGAAAAGAGGTTTATTTAAGCTCACAGATTAGCAGGGTGAAAGTCCAACATCAGATGGCCCAATCAGTTCATCCTCTGGTGAGGACCCCCTTTGCAGTGTCACCGTAGATGGAATCATGATAAGACAGGTCATGTGCTAAGCAAGGAAGCCAGAGAGCAGGGAGGGTCCAGCCTTGCTCTTTTATAATAACCCATTCCCATGAGCAATAAAGTAACAAGACCAGACATTACTCCTTTCTGAGGGCTGTGTTCCTGATGGCCTTCCTCTGTGCCCTGCTTCTCAGTGGTTCCATCTTAATACCACTCTTTGGGGAACAAGCTTTCAATACATGAATCCTCAGGTGGAGACAAACCATACCTTTTCCATAGCCAGGACAGTGATACAGCATAAGGCTTTCCTGAAGGCCTGGTGTCGCGTCTGGCATGGGGAAGCCTTCAGAAAATAGCAGCTAGGATCATGTTTTACCAGGAGTGCCCAACCCTTCAACACAGTGGCACGATGTTAGCATCTACAAATGTGTTGGACCGTATTCCTAGCTATGCTGGGATGTGGCCCATAGGCCACAGGTTGGTCGTGCCTCTTGAGGCCCTGTGATTATCCTGTACCTACTGAAAAACAGGACATTCAGTCTTATTATGTAAAGCTGTGGTTATTAAACAGCAGCTCCGAGAGACTCACCTGGAAGGCTTGCAACAGCACAGACTGCTGCACCCCGTGCCCCCCCAGTGCTGTGAACCATTAGATCCTGGGCTTCCCCAGAGATGCCCATACTGTTCGTTAGTGGGCCCCGTTTGAGAACCATTGATTCCAATGACTAGAATTAAAGTCTTGTGCATTCCTCCATTAAAGGCTGTGTGTCCTCTGAGCTCCCCAAAACGGAGCAGACCAGGCAGCACAGAGAAAGAAGAGCTTGCCCTTGCCCCACCCCCAACCTCTGCTGCAGATCAGGTGCCCAGTGCTTAGAGGTCCTATTATCTCTAGAGCTTTGCACAAAGGCTGAACTGCCAGATTAGAGGATGTGTGTGTCTAAAATCATGTGATTCTGGGTGTGCTGTTCATGTTCCTGTGGGACCTGACAGGACTGGTCTCTTTCCCCAGTTGGATTTCTCCTTTTTAATATAACAATATTTGTGGAGGGAAAAAAAAGCAATGTATTTATACACAAACATTTCCACATACACATGTTACCAGGCACACACCTACAACACACATGTACGTCTTCAGGGTGTTTAGAGTAAATGTGTTATAAACAGAGCTGGCACTATCTCAGTGAAGGTCTTTAGGAAGGGAGACAAGCATAGATGAAGAGAACAGACGTGTGGATATGGCAGGGGTAAGGGAGGGTTGCACCTGTGGACCTGTATGTAAGTCTCTGTGTACTCTCACAGACAAATGCCATGTCATTAGCCCTGTTCAGAATCCCCAGACGTCTAGTAAAAATAGTAGATGAAGGACTGGAGAGATGGTCCAAGAGTGATGGCTGCTCTTGCAGAGAACCTGGGTTTGGTTCTCAGCACTCACATAGTGACTAACAACCATAACTCCAGTTCCAGGGGATCTGATGACCTTCTGGTCTCCATGGACATTGCATGCACAGGTGCACTTACATCAATGCAGGCAAAACTCTCATGCACATAAAATAAAAATAAATAAAAATTTTAAAAAGGCCTGAAATTAGGTGGGGTGCTTTGCGATCGCTGTCCTTACTTTCCTCCCTGCAGGAGTTGGCGACTTCAGTGTGTGGGAGTTCTCCGGAAACCCCGTGTACTTCTGCTGCTATGACTACTTTGCTGCCAATGACCCCACATCCATTCATGTCATCGTCTTCAGCCTGGAAGAGCCCTATGAGATCCAGCTAAACCAAGTGATTTTCTGGCTCAGTTTCCTGAAGTCTCTGGTCCCGGTTGAGGAGCCCATAGGTGAGCTAAGCCCTGGATGGGGTGAGGCCTTGCTGCTCCACCTCTGTGCCCCTTCAGCTGCAGCCTTCACAGTGGCTGGCTACACTCAGACCCTGCAGGGTGGGGCTCAGAGCTGTAGCTTCCTCTTTTCTCCTTCTGGATTGGAGACCCCCGCCCCAAACCGGATGCTTCCTTTGCAGGCCCTGTGATGGGCAGGGAGATCTTTGTCTGTGGTTTCATGCCTGGAAGGTTCTCTCACCTCCCTCTGTACTTTAGCACTTCTTAGTCATTGTTGGGTACACAGTGGGGTCCGTCCTTCCATGGCCCCTTTGCCCTTCGGGAAAGTGCAGGCATTCATCAGCAGATCAAGCTCTCCCTCAATCTGCAGACCCACCTGACTGTGGAGAAAATGCCCAGGTGACCTGACCACAGCACATGGACTAGAGGAGAGGGTGATATGGAATGGACTTTGCCAACAGAAGCAGCAATTCCTGGGCCAGGGTGATGATTGCAGCCAGCTTGTTTCTCTAGAAAGCCCAAGATCATAAAAGCAGTTGGGCAGATCCCCCTCAGGGCTGCCATTTTACTGCTTTTAAACACTCCCTATCAGGAGACGCCCTGTCTCTATGAATTAGAGATAGTTTCTCTCTAGGCTGTGGCTGCATTCAGGTGGCTTTCTTTGGTCCTGTGAAGGCTGTTGCCTGATTGCTCCCCCTTGTGCATCAGAGGCCACTCTCAGTGCTCCATTCAGTCCTGGCCATCTGCTGAGAGCCCTACTGGAGGCTCAGGAGTGGGGGGCCACATTGAACAGTGGAGCCCCCAAGTCTATGGGCAGGTTGCATGACACCTGGATATGTGGCCCAGGAATGAGACCAACACATCCCCTCCTCTGGACAGGAGAATCAGCCGGGTAGAAGACCGGCCTCCTCATAGGGTTTGCTCTCTCCCCAGCATTCGGCGGCAAGCTGAAGAACCCACTTCGAGTTGTCCTGGTGGCCACCCATGCTGACATCATGAATATCCCTCGACCTGCTGGAGGCGAGTTTGGATACGACAAGGACACTTCCTTGCTGAAAGAGATCAGGAACAGGTGAGGGCGGCTGCTGGGTCTCCAGTGAGGTGAACATCTGGACCTGGGAACTGGATCAGGTGTGAGGATGGGCAGAGGGCATGTGACCACTTTCACCTTTGATCCTTCTGTTAACTTTTTCATTGTTACCAAAACAATGAGTTCCATGCAAGAAACCTTGCTAGAGACCAGGAGCGCGTGGTAGAAAACCAGCCCTTCTTTGCACGCAGCACCTCCGTACAGAGGCCTCTTCTGTTAGTTCTTGTAGCTTTCTTTCTTTGCATGACTAGCACAATACTGATCAGTGTTTCCCAATCTAGTGTGTTATGAAATTACGTGGGAGGGCCATGACCAACTCTGTACTTAGGAGGGGATGGAACAGAAAAGAAGGGATCAGATCAGTGTTTATCACGTGAACTGTTACTGCATAAATCTTTTGTTTCACTCACAAATGACCAGAAGTAAATCAAATTTTTACTTGAAATCTATATTAGTCATTTCTGTTACTGTAACAATGTACTGGAGTTTGGTGACTGATAAAGAAAGGGTGTGTTTAGCTAAGCATCTCAGGGGCAGAAAATCTAAGCCCCATTTCGTCAGTCCTTGTGAGGCCCCTTTGACCGCATCACATCCTGGTGAATGGCATGCTAGTGGGTGCCATAAAGAAACAATCCAGAGAGATTCAGGGATCAGGCTCTCTGAGATGCCATGAAAGCTATGGTGATCCCTTTGTAAGCCAGTACCCTAGACTTTAGCCACCTTTAGCTGGGCTCCACATTGTAAAGGTTCCATTAGCACAAATCATGTTGGGGACAGAGCTTCTGGCACATGCTCCCCTAGAGAACAGACCACATCCAAACCATAGCAGCTTCCAAGGTTCCATTAGGAAGTTTGAACTTGAGGGCTAGAGAATTGGCTTAAGAGTTCAGAGCACTTGCCACTCTTCCAGAGGACCTGAGTTGGATTCCTAGCACCTGTGTTGGGCAGCTAACAACTGCTTGTAATTCCAGCTCCAAGGGATCAAACACCCTATTCTGGCGTCTGTGGGTACCCAAACACAGGTGAGGACACACACGCACACGCACACACACAAATAAAAGTAAAAATAAATCTTTTAAAAGAAACTCATAGCTCCATAGTACAGTATGGTGATAACTCAGAACTTGAATTATCAGGGCGAGATATATAGCTGTTGTCTTCCTGATATGAAATGGGGTCATGTATGAGTATTTTTTTATTTTGTTTTAATTTTATGTGTATGGGTGGTATGCCTGTATGTAATGTAAGTCACCCGTGTTGTGCAGTGTCTGAGGATGCCAGGAGAGGGCATTAGATCCCCTGGAACTGGAGTTGCAGATGGTTGTTAGCCACAATGTGGGTGCTGGGATTTGAACATGAGTCCTCTACAAGAGCAGCCAGCGCTCTTAACTGCTGTGATTAGTGGCATAGCTTTCTTATTCTGCCCTGATCTGAGCCCTCCACCATCAACAGCATGCCCTTCCCTCCCTTGGAAGGTAAGTACATGGGCCTCCCCTCTCCTGCATTCAGAGGCTCTGACATCTTTCTACCACTGTTCCTGCACCTGTGCTAAGATCCCAGCGGCCCAAGTGTGTGGCTTGGAGACCACGCTGACTTCCCTACACTCTGCACCCACAGTGACTGGTGGGAGTCCATCTGATGGCAGGGACAAAGGGACCTCTTTAGGGTCACTAGGACACCCCTTTGCCTCCCATCAATCTCTGGGGCCAGTAGGAGTTCTTTCCCTGCATGGGAAGACCTGGTGAGATTGATTCGGGCTGATGCAGTTCCTGCTCTTGCCCTAGGTTCGGGAATGATCTTCACGTCTCAAATAAGCTCTTTGTGCTGGATGCAGGAGCTTCTGGGTCTAAGGACATTAAGGTCCTTCGGAATCACCTGCAAGAAATTCGGAGTCAGATCATCTCTGTGAGTACAACCAGAGGGGCTGGACCCAACCCAACTGCTGAACCCAGCAGGGAATTGGCTTCTCCATGCTGTCCTCAGTTTGGTTTGGTTCCTGGGCCCAGAGCCACAGTAGGAGCAGACACAGTAGTACACTAGGATCTGTATGTATGTGCTGTTCTCCAGTTGCTGTGGAATAAAGCAAGAAGAGGAGGGATAGGTGATGGAGGGTTGTTCCTGGCAGTGGTGGACCACTCAGAGTGTTATCATTTCTTAGAGTTTCCAGGGCTTGTGTAAATACATGTTTTAATATAAATTACAAAAGCAACTCTAATCTGCTTTATTGTAACAAACTCAGAAAAGAGAAATACTAACAAAACTTTCTGAACCATGTGTGCTAACAGATGAGAACAGATGGGATGAGACTGTTCTTGCTGCAGGTAAAATATGAGTGAGTGGTTCATTATTCCCACTTACACAAATGTAATACAATTCTGCTCGGTATCTGAGTAGGATGGGGGACATTAGAATTTTCAACTTAAAATTACAATGGAAGAAGAAAACATATTATAAAAGCTCTAGAATCACTGTCATTAAGTAAACAGCTTAAAGAGTGTTGTCCACATAACTCACATTGTCTATAGAAATTAGTAGAAAACAAAGATCATTCTGGCAATAAAGTGCTTAATGCACAATTGTGAGGACCTGAGTTTGGGCACACACATAAAAGCCAAGCACGAAGGGACACACCTGTATTCCTAGTGCTCAGAAGGCAGTGACAGGAGGATCCCTGGGGCTGGCTGGCCAGCCAATCAGTGAGCTCCAGATTCAGTGAGAAACCCTGTCTCAGAAAATAAGGTGGAGAGTAACTGAGGATGACATTGGACATCGACCACTGGCCTCAGCAAGCAGGCACACACAAGCAAGTAAATGGACATGCAGCCATATACACACGGGCCAAGAAAGGGAGGGAGACAGGGAGGGAGGAAGAGCGGGAAGGAAAGAAGGAAGGAAGTTACTTTAGAAGGAAGGAAGGAAAGGATGTTACTTTCATGGGGGAAAATGGTTACTTAATAAACCAGCATAAAACTGGTTATTTGCTTGGAAGGAAGTTGAATTGGCCTACTCATGATATAGCCTAAAAGCTAATGGATTAAAGCTTTTAAATATACAAATGTAAAACAGTATCTTGAACAAGAGTTTCAGAGAATGTGTTTTTAAAATACCTGCATCTGAGGAATCCTTTTGAATCAAGTTAAAAACCCTGAAAGTGCTGGGTGTGGTGGCACACGCCTTTAGTTCCAGCACTCAGGAGGCAGAGGCAGGCAGATCTCTGTGAGATCGAGGCCATCCTGGTCTACATAGCGAGTGCCAGGTTAGTTGGGGCTACAAGAAGACCCTGTCTCAAAAAGACCAAAAAAAAAAAAAAAAAAAGAAAGTTTCCAAAGGAAGTATATTTATTCGAAAACAAAATATTTTATCAGAAAAAAAAAAGAGCAAACATAAAGTAAAAGGTGCTCTAGACTGAGGAAAACGGTCAGTGCATTTGACCATTTGACAGATCAAGGATTCCTTACCTATAATATAAAAATCGCTTCCCAACACAGGTAAGAAACAAACATGCATCCTAAATGGAAAGACTGCACCTAGGTGGACGTGGCTGAACAGCCCCAGGAGGTTCCCGCTGTCCAGGACTGAGTCTAGACTTGGTGAGAGATGAGTACCAGGCTACCTTGTGACCCATGTCCCTTCTAAAGCCCTGAACCTCCACCACTCTCTAGTTCTATGTGTGCTTTCAAAATCCTCAGGTGACTGTCTCCTAGCAAAAAGCCAGTCCTTGCACCTCAGTAGCCTTGCTTTCCTATGGGGATGGCTCCATGGCTCAGTCACCAGACCGGAGTGTCTGGCAGACCAGTGGGAATCTGGTCCCAGATGTCAGCAGGCTGTGATCTGGAACAAACAGCCTGTGACGAGGCCAGGAAATGCCCCCAGATTTGGAGCAGATTCTCGTCACTCAGGCAACAGGGCAACAGGGAATCCTTAGATTCTTTGAGTTTAGTTATGGCATTACCAAGTGCTTTTGCCACATGCCCCCTCCCCCCACCAAATCCTGAGGCAGGTGAAGCCCCCATATGAATTGTCTTTATCCTTGAAAGGTTTTTTTTTTTTTTGGTCTTTCTTGAGACAGGTTCTCCCTGTAGCTCTAGCTGTCCTGGAACTCACTATGTAGACCAGGCTGGCCTTGAACTCACAGAGATCTGCCTGCCTCTGCCTCCCAGTGCTGGGATTAAAGGCGTGCACCACCATGCCCAGCGGTTTTTATTTTTTTAACCAGGGAGTGGAATTTAGGTGACATGAGATGTGATTTGGGAGGGTTGTGTGATTACCGATGCAATACAGTATGTGGTATGTGTATTCTAATTAGAATTATTATCTGTGATTATCTGAGAATGTGAAACATAGGTTGACTTGTTTAACTACTTTGAAAGGTTAAAAACCAATTTGGTGCCAGTAACTGAGAACTGATCTACTGACATTTCATCAAGAGTCCCCTTGAATGCCTAATCTACTGATTCAAATCCTGTCTGATGTTGACCATGATTCTCACTCTTTATCCCACTCCATGCATAACCTATCCATTTTCTAGAGTTACTAGTGAGGGAGGAAAGGAGTGGAGACGGAGGGAGGGAAGATGCAAGTGGACCATTAGGCACTGGTGAACGTTAGTTGATGGGTTGAGTCCACACTTCCTCAAACATTGTAAAGACTCATCATCTGTTGAATGTAAAAGCTACAACCAGACTTCATCTTTGAGTACTAGGTTCTGCTTAAAGGCAAACATTAAAACAACTGTGCTAGTGCTGAGCCAGTAAAGCCCTCCTGGTGGCTGCCCAGTTGCATGGTAGCTAATCTGTCCCATCTACTCCATGCAGGGCTGCCCTCCCATGACTCACCTATGTGAGAAAATCATCTCCACGCTGCCTTCCTGGCGGAAGCTCAATGGGCCAAACCAGCTGATGTCACTGCAACAGTTCATGTACGATGTGCAGGACCAACTGAACCCCCTGGCCTCTGAGGATGACCTCAGGCGCATCGCACAGCAGCTGCACAGCACGGGCGAGGTGAGGGCTGAGGGGCCAGGCAGGGGCTAATGAGGGCTTTGGAGCCACCTGTCCATTCCAAGGTCCAGTTCCTGGGGGTAGGGGTGAGGCTGAGCCTGGGTGGCAGAGAAGAAACACATTGCACCTCAGGTCATCTGAGAACTGCCACTCTCTGCTTCTCCTTCACTCAGTGTTAGCGCTAGTTGGAGTCTGAGCTGAATTTTGTCCTCTAATTCAGGGAATTGAAATAGAGACTCACACAGATTACAAACATAGCAATAATACTTTTTTCAAAGCAAAACATTAGTACAGGTTGGAGAGGAATATGCTGTCTGTCAAGATTTGATAACAGGCTACATGAGTGTCAGTGTTTAGGGGACCCAGGTTATTGCTTGGGGCTTCTTTTTATGGGTCTAGAAGAGGGAGGAGTTTGGTTACTAGGGGCATAGTTTGGGAGGCTTTCTCTTTTGATTGACAGGCTTGGATTAGGTAGACTTTTGCTCACTGTGCATCCCCATGATATATCTGACTTTAATCATTTGCATGCCCCATTGTGCACAGGGATAAGAAGGTAAGTAGGGGATTCTCCTTCAAAGTTCAGTCAGAAGACACAAGTATGCCTTATTGCACATACACCCTAAACCAATTCAGGCTGGCTTTGCCCCTCCTACTCTAATACACTGACATAGCTGGAGTATGATTGAACAGAATCTGTCAAAGTTTGATGATTGTTAAGAGGGGGAATAACTTATTCCATTGTTCAGAGGGATGTGTGTGAAGCTCAGTGCGGATGATGGTCCTAGATTGCTAACAGGTTGCTAGGTGCATTGCTTAGAGAGGGGTGTGTGTGCATAGTACCTGTAGGTAAGGATCTCAGGCTACCAACTACATTATTAGAGGAGGGGTATCTGTGTAGCCCAGCCCAAGTGGAGTTTCAGGATACTAAAATATTCCCTATTTTTTTTGCCTCATTAGCATGAGTTCAGTTCTCTTTGGTTTGCTGCTGTCCTCTAGGTCCTGTTAGCACACAGGACCCTTGCCCTGCGTGCCTGGGTCCCCACTGCCCATCAGACACCTGCTACTTCCCTCTTCTTCCTGGCTGCTCTCAGGATTGGGAGGATCTGGCTCCAGACATGGTTCTTGATTGGCCAATATTGAGAAAAGCCAGTGAGGTGTCCTCACAGAGACACTCTGTAGACAATAAGACACAACCAGTGCACCGATTTACAGACTGATCTTAAGTGGAAACACATGTTTAAAGACCCCCAGCAATCAATGCCACCAGAAATAACAGAAAATGGGAGACTTGGCTCTTGGTTGTCTGACGTTTAGCCCTGTCTGGAAGCTTCTAATTACATCGTTATGTCTGTCCCCAGAAAGGGGCATAGCCTTCACTTCCTACATCCTGTGAAATTGAGTGGCCGTATATATGCTCGGCTCGTCTTAGAGCAGCAGTTGTGAATACAAACAATTAGAAGGAGTTCTAAAAATATTAAAAACCAGAAGCTAGGTTCTCTGGTTTTGGGGTGTTACATCATAGCATGTGTTTATATGAGTTGTGTAGTTTTGACCCAGAAGGACCTTAAGGAGTAATGTCAGCTTTAACCTCCTAGTAAACTGCCAGCTGATTGACTAACTGCCTAGCAGTACTGTAAAGTGACTGATTGCAAAGAAGGAGACGGGGGAAGGGCAAAGCTTAGATTATAAGTCACAGCTGGATATAAAGTATTTAACCATAACAATAAATACACTCCTTTGACATAGTATTCTCTCACCTTCTAGTATTTGACCGAAATTTTTCAAGTCATAATGTGTAATCCCCTTAATTTCATACCACACTCCCTCCCTTTTGAGTGAGAGACTTTACTAAATAAACGAAGACTTGGAAGAGGGAGGGAAAAGGAAAGAGAACCCCAGTGATGTGGCCAGGTCTGAGTAGCTCCAGCCTCCTTGGTCTAGTCCTGTGTTGTTCTTCATCCAGGATCCCACCCAACAGATTGTGAGCTCCTCTCCTTGGCCTCCTTTACCAGGGACCTCAGGTCAGGCTTTCTTTTTTATGACCTTGGGAGGTGACAGTAGTAATAAATAGCAAATGAGGACCTACCCAATGCTGTGTTGAGAACCAAACAGAAATGGGCTGTCTCCTCTGTGAAAGTTAAGTCTGAGGCTCAGTATGAAGAGAGCTGAAGAAAAGACATTGAAAGGCCTAAACCTCAACAGGACAGGAAAGCTCTGAGACTAACAGGTGGAGCCAAAGGCCCTGCAAGGAAGGAGCCCGCCTAGGAACACTATTATTCATTATTCATAGTATCCTAGAAGGACCCGGAAGCAAAAAGTGGTTTCTGGGTTTTTTTCTCACCTTTTCTCCAACTTCCGGTTTTTTGAAGTAGACACTCCTGTAGGGTGAAAGTCCCCAGTGGTCACCGTCTCTGGTCTCATTTTCCCCTCTCTGAGACCAGCTGAAATCACAGGCCCTTATTTTCTAGAGTTTTTTGAAAAAAAAATGGAAGTATTTTTAAATTTACTTTGTGTTAGTATATTAGTACAATATTCTGAACCTTTTATGAAAAAATCCAAGATCACCATTGAAGCCAGGTATCGTGGAGTGTGAGTGTAATCCCAGCGCTCAGAAGGCTGAGATGAAGACGAAGAATTGAAGGCCAGCCTGGGCCACATAGTGAGACCTTATCTCAAACAAACAAGTGAACACTACCAGGAGCCCTTACGTCCTCTACACCTCAGCTGATCCATTATTTACATTTTGCTGCCTTTGCTTCCTTCCTATTCGTTTATTTCTTGTTTATTTTACAGACATCATCATATATCACCCCTAAGTCACTGAACCTCTGTCTACAATGAAAAGGATGTTTTCTCCCATAACCCAGTGAAATAAATGATCGCACTCCAGAAACACAACACTGATGCATAAATTGTGACCGAGTTTATGGTCTTCATTAAAGGGTCACCATTTACACTGATGACTTCCTTTTTTAAAAAAAGAAAGAAAGAAAAGGTTTACTGGGCTTATAATTCTAAATTATAGTTCATCATTTCCGGGAAGTCAAAGGAGGAACTAGAGCAGTTAGTCACATCATATTCACAATCTAGTAACTTTTTTTTTTTTTCCACTTGTTATTTTTTGTTTGTGTTGTCTTTTTGAGACAGGGGTCTCCCTGTAGCCCTCTTTGTTTTAGATTGTGAACGTGCTGGGTGTGGTGGCACATGCCTTTAATCCCAGCACTTGAAGCAGGTGGATCTCTTTGAGTTCAAGACCAGCCTGGTCTACAAAGTGAGTTCTCCTTTGGGACTACGGGGAGACCCTGTCTCAAACAGATCAAAAAATTTTTTTTTGATTTCTTTGTTTTTATTTTATGTGTACAAGTGCTTTGCCTGCGTGTATGTAAGTGCACCTGTGTCATGCAGTGCCCACAGAGGCCAGAAGAGGGTCTCAGTCCCCTGGAACTTCAGTTACAGAGGATTGTTAGCCACCATGTAGGTGCTGGGAACTGCACCCGGGTACTCTGCAAGAGCAGCCAGTGCTCTTAACCACTGAGCCATCTCTCCAGCCTCTGTTCTTGCTTTCTTAATGTGATCATTTGAAGTAAACATGGCAAAATTTGGATTAAATCCAGGATACATTTTTTTCATATATTGTTTGGGATTTGATGTGCTAGCAAAGAAACACTTGCTTAATCCACACTCATTCAAATTAATGCCTGTGTTTTGTAATTTTAGTATTTATCTGTGTGTGCCATGACATGCATATGGAGGTCAGAGGACAGCTCTATAACCTCCTTTAATAGCTACTTTTATTCATTTTGGATTTATTTTGAGATCCAGATTCAGTCAGAAACCACTCTGCTGTTTCCTGCCATCTCAGCCACCTCGTCTCATCTTCTTCCGTTATTTTTTGTTTGCTTATTGCTTTGGTTTGGTTTTACGTTCGTTTTTGTCTTCCTATACATGAGATTTTTGACCTCCTGAGTAACTGCTTCTCAGAAACTCTCTTCTGATAGTCTCAAACCAGGTTGGGGGTGGGGATGAATGTTTGGTTTTAGATGGACCATGGAAAAGCCCTGTGTTATTTCTCAGAGTGTCTACTCAAGTTTGCCCACTGAGCTGAGGTCCTTCTGTGCTCTGAGTGGTAAGTGCCCCTGGCTTGGGTTCTTTTCCTGTTGTTGACCTTGAGTTGCCCTCTCTGGCAGATCAACATCATGCAGAGTGAAACTGTGCAGGATGTCCTGCTCCTGGACCCTCGATGGCTTTGCACCAGCGTCCTGGGGAAGCTGCTGTCTGTGGAGACGCCCCGGGCCTTGCATCATTACCGTGGCCGCTACACCATGGAGGACATCCAGCGCCTGGTCCCCGACAGTGATGTGGAGGAACTGTTGCAGATCCTGGACGCCATGGACATCTGTGCCCGAGACATGAGCAGTGGGACCATGGTAGACGTTCCTGCTCTTATCAAGACAGATAGCCTGCAGCGTTCCTGGGCTGATGAAGAGGATGAGGTGATGGTGTATGGTGGTGTGCGCATCGTCCCTGTTGAGCATATAACCCCCTTCCCATGTGGCATCTTTCACAAAGTTCAGGTGAACCTGTGCAGGTGGATCCACCAGCAGAGTGCCGAGGGCGATGCAGACATCCGCCTGTGGGTGAGTGGCTGCAGGATCACCAACCGTGGGGCTGAGCTGCTGGTGCTGCTGGTCAACCACGGCCAGGGTATAGAGGTGCAGGTGCGTGGACTGGAGACAGAGAAGATCAAATGCTACCTGCTGCTGGACTCGGTGTGCAGCACCATTGAGAATGTCATGGCCAGTACCTTGCCGGGGCTGCTAACGGTGAAGCACTACCTGAGCCCCCAGCAGCTGCGGGAGCACCACGAGCCACTCATGGTCTACCAGCCACGGGACTTCTTCCGGGCACAGACCCTGAAGGAGAGTGCCCTGACCAACACCATGGGAGGGTACAAGGAGAGCTTCAGCAGTATCATCTGCTTCGGGTGTCATGATGTCTACTCGCAGGCCAGTCTCGGCATGGACATCCATGCATCAGACCTGAACCTCCTGACTCGGAGGAAACTCAGTCGCCTGCTTGACCCACCTGACCCCATGGGGAAGGACTGGTGCCTTCTTGCCATGAACTTAGGCCTCCCAGATCTGGTGGCCAAGTACAATACCAACACCAGGGCTCCCAGGGATTTTCTTCCCAGCCCGGTGCATGCCTTGCTACAGGAATGGACCTCCTACCCCGAGAGCACAGTGGGCATCCTCATATCTAAACTGCGGGAGCTCGGGCGCCGGGATGCTGCTGACTTTTTACTGAAGGCCTCCTCTGTATTCAAGATCAACCTCGAAGGCAACGGCCAGGAGGCCTATGCCTCAAGCTGCAACAGTGGCACGTCTTACAATTCCATTAGCTCGGTGGTGTCCCGGTGAGGGCGGCCTTGGCTCGGGCAGGGTCTCTGTGGACTGAGATGCAAGGGGAGGGGGGTGCAGCCTGTCCTTTTCACTGCAGTTCCCCAGGCTTTCCCTCCACACTCATATCCTGAAGACACCCCCTCCCTCCTGTTCCCCTGCTTCCCTGCCTCCATCTCCCTCTCATCCCCTAGTGAAGAGCAGACCGTACCCTTTACTTCGGCCCTCCCCTTCCTCTCAGTGTTTTGGACTCTATCTCCTCTTCAGTACCTTGCTTCTATCTGATGGTTTTATTGGAATTCTGAACTTTTCAATGAATTTATTTTAACTCCTTAGTTGATTGTCTTTAAAAAAAAAAAATGGGCGGGGGAAAGAAACACACATTTACCCCCAGCACAGTGTGTACTTCTTACCCTTTCCTTTGCTGTACCAGCTCCTCAGCTTATCTCTTTTATATTTGTAGGAGAAACTCCCATGCTTGGACCTCACTGTATGATTTATAAACAGACAGTATGTGAGTGCCTTTTGCAGAAGAGGGTGTGTTGAAAGCATCTGAGTCAGCCCGGAGCTGTCACCAAGGAAACGCTACCTCTCTGTCCCTTGCTGTATGCTGATCATCGCCAGAGGTGCTTCACCCTGAGTTTTTCTTTTTCTTTTTCTTTCTTTTTTTTTTTGGTGGGGAGGGGCACATTCTGTGTTTTATGTGGCAAGGAAAGGGGAGAAAGGAGAGGACTCCCCCAGGGTGTTTCATGGCCAGTGTTGCTGTAAAAAGACGTTTTATGTTGCTTTTGTTAAAGCATCTGTGTGAGCATTTGTACAAAATCCAGACTGTCCTGCTTCCTCACTCCCTCTCATCTCAGGTAGAAGGTGACACAGTGTAGGGTCGGGAGACCTGTGTAAGAATTCAGAAGACCCCGACTTTTAACCCGGGGCAGTCCGTTGGTGGTGGTGCATAGCAGATGGTTTCGACAGTTAGATTCTGGTTTGGTCACTTCTTGTGCTTGAAGTCCAGAAACAAGAAAATAGAGGAAGCAAGTTTCCTTGCAGTGATTTGAAATTGTGATAGAATTTTAAATTGATATGAGGGAATGTGTCCTAATTCTTCTGTCCTGAGAGCATGTAATGTTAACGTTTTATCATCTGTACATATATATATGCACTATGTATATACATATATATTAATACTGGTATTTTTACTTAATCTATAAGATGTCATAAAAGAATTAAGTTTTTTTCCTTTTTCTTTCCATTTTTTTATATATAAATAAACTTGCTTATTGCATTGGATTTGTTGGTCCTTAATTCAAAAGGACGTCTGTTCTCTGTTGGATTTTCATTCCCAGCATTTTACACAGTAGCACTAACCGATTTGAAATTCAGAACATCCAGGGTTTGGAAAGCAACCCAGCTTGCTTAGGTCCTTGTTTGTTTCTAAACTAGAGGTAGCAGAGGGACTAAAAGGGGCCTAGGTGATTTTCGTGTTTGTTCTCAAGAGTGGCCTCTAGGTTTGGTTTTGTTTTGGGGTTTCAGGGTGGGAGGTTTGAGACAGGGTCTACTATGGGGTGGGAGATTTGAGATAGGCCCCAGTTGGCCTGGAACTTGCTGTGTAGACGATCCCAGGCTGGCCTCAGTATCACAGTAGTCTTCCCGACTCTGCCTCCTGAGTGCTGAGATTAAAGGCATGCACCACCATGCCCAGCTTTTTTTTTTTTTTTTTTTCAATTTATATATTTATTGTTGGGCAGAGGAAGACACATGCCACAGAGCACATGTGGAGGTCAGAGGACAACTTGCAGGAGTCGGTTCTCTCCTAACGTGCAGATTCTGGGGATCAAACTCAGGTCATCAGGCTTTGTGGCAAGCACTTTTACCTGCTAAGCCATCTCACTTGGCCTTTCTGTTTTCCTTGGGTGAACCAACATGGCATCTTCTAGTCCTAGCAATGGAGTTAGAAGTAAGCTTTCTATTTTATGCCAAATGTAGAGGATGGTGCCAGGAACAAGAGAAAGTCCCCAGTATAAGAGACCTGTCTCCTTGTACTTCTTTAAATGCAAGCTGCACAAGCCCAGGTTATCAACAAGAAATTCCAGAGTTGATCTGTCTGGGACCTGTATGTGACAGCAACCAGAGGTGACAAAACCAATATTGAATAAAATCACAGGGGAGCTTTAAAATAGGCATAGAGAAAAGACTGTGAGGAACGCTATTACACTGATAATGCTAAATTTTTGTCTGTGCTCATAGGAATGTAATTGGTTTTACTTGACTCACATTGTCCACAGTAAACATGATTTACTTTCATAACAAAGAACTATTAGCGAATAATCTAAAAATTACATACAGATACACCTGGAACAGATGGCATTGGAACTGAAGTTGTGAGTGTTCTAAGGGAGCAGCGCCTCCTTTTGCCCAGCTGCATGGTGGATGTTGGCCTCGGTCTGCCTGACTTCAGTGGCACTTCCACCCAGGCCAGCAGCCCGAGGTACAAGCCATAGGCAAGGGATGGCCAACCTCTGGGTCAGCCTAAGTCACATGGCCATCCTCCTATGAATCATAGTAGTTGGGGAGGCAAAGGTCCTGTGATAGGGGGCCAATACCTGGGCTGGTATTGGGGAGATGCAGTGCTCCCCCAAAGTTAGTCCACTTAGCAAAAGAAGGGTTTGGGGAGGATGCTGAGCAGATAAATGAAGAGATTGCAGGAGTCCTTACACTCTGTGTTCATGCAAGTCCCAGGACAGACACCTGTTCATGTGGCTCTGGGGCTCCTTAGCTTCTGAAATGCCCCTACTCAGTAATCCTCAAAGCCCAAATATCAAGAGCTTAAGCAACACTGAGTTCACTTTCCCATTCTGGGCCACATTATGTGGCTTCCTATGGGCAGTATGGGGACAGGTACCCGGAGCTCAAGTTGAAGCTGTTTGGCAAAGCCCCACTGCCTGGTGCACAGTGCCAGCTCTCCCTTCTGTGGGAAGAAGAAGCCACCTCCTGTGCCATAGGAAGAGTCGGGGTGTGCGGCTTCTTGCCAGTCATGGGACCTTTCCTTTAGAGTTGCTGTGAGACGTGGTCAGATAGCATGTTCATGGTTGTTTGTGGACTGTGGCTGCCCCTGGAGACCAAGTCCAGTCTGGGCCTCTGAAGGATGCTGCAGGGTGTGGCATAAACATCCCTAGATTCCAGTTCAGGCTGAAGAGTATTTCTGTGGGTTCCATTTGATTCCAAAATAGGGATCTCCATATATGTGAAAGGAAGCAGAGCTCACTGGAATTCTGGTAAGTTGGTGGGTTTGTTTTTGGTAAAATGAATTTCTATTACAGTTGTGGAATTCACAGAAATTTTTTATATACATTTGGCCCTCTCCATGTCCAGAGTCCACACGATTCTCATTAAACCCTTGTGGTATGACCACAGAAAAGCCACTCCAGTGTGACATAAGCTGCTGCTAAAGCCAGTTAGGTACAAACCCTTGAGGGCAGGGACTGGGGAGATGGCTTAGTTGGTAAAGTGCTTGTACAAGCATGAGAACCTGAGTTCAGATCCCTAGCACCCTCCTGAACAAAAACTGGGCAGTGCACACCTGTAATCCCAGTGCTGGAGAGCCAAACAGGAGGATGCCTGGCAATGACTAGTCAGTTAGTCCTGACCAATTGGAGAGCTCCAGATTCACAGAGAGACTCTGTCTCAAAAGAAGGTGGGGAAGGCTAGTGAAATGGCTTGATGGGTAAAGGTGCTTGCTACCAAGGCTAATGCCCTTAGTTTAATTCGTGAACTCCCAAGGGTGGAAGGAGAAAACAAATTCCTCCAAGTTATCTTCTACCCCCACACATCGCTGTGTTCCCCAACAAATTAAATAAACAAATAAATATAAATAAGTAAATAAATAAATAATCAATATTAAGGTGGAGAGTGATAGAGGAAGATGCCCACTGTTGATCTCTAACATCCACAGGCACATGCATAGATGTGCATGCGCACCCACATATACACATGTACACTACACAAGGATATACATACACACAAAAAGAAGAAATGGTGAAGGCAACCAGAGATTGAAGTTCAGAAGTAGAAGGTTGTTTCACTAAATTTTCCCTTCCCACCCTCTGGGAGACTGGCCCTCAGTCACCGGGGTCTCGGGGTCCTGACACGGATTGACAAAACTGGTATAACATTTCTATCTTGGGTTTTTCAGAATTTATATGACATTTGGGGCAGGGGGTGACTTGCACGAAATGGCTTCCCATAACCCACATGCCATTCAAGCCCACCTGTAGTGTCCCATCAGCTTTCATGCTGAGCCCTCGGTTTAAGTGCCTCATCTTGCATCCATGCATGCTGACTCGCCCTGCAGAGTTCGCGGACTGGCTTGCTTCCAGGTCCCGCTCCCGATCACACAGTCCCGCAACCGAGCACACACTTCACTCCCTGAGTTCCAATATGGCTGTGGCTAACTCTCTGCTCACTCTCCATCTCTCTTCCCAGGGTGTTCCTCATCTCACCCCTGTCCATAGGCTCACTCTTATCAGAGGAATGAGTAATATTTGGGCTACGAAGGCCCTCATTAAGAGCAGGAAAGCAGTTTCACCTTTTCAAAAGGAAATAGTTCTGGAGGCAGATGGTGGTGATGGTTGCCCAGTAGTGTGAATGGAAGGTTGTCACTGGTCTGGGCATGATTAAAGTGGTAAGTTTTGTATTTTACCACATTAGAAAACAGTAGAAGTAAAAATAGAACCTAAAAGTGTCCAAGAAACAATAAATTTTTCAGATTATTATATAAGACCCTTGTATATTTAGAGCAGCCCTACAGAGACCCCCCCCCC